GCACAAAGGGCATCCCAGCCTCCAGTAAAAACTCAGGGAATTACCACTGATTTACTTTGCCGGGGTGTCTGTTCTGCGGCAATGGCTGGCGAAGGCTGCTGTCATTTGTAAAATATTCCTGCCAATTAGTTGGCAGAGTGCTCTTGATCTGGGCTGTTTTGATACAGTAATACCCCTGTGCAAAGCACAGCCCAATTACCCAAATCATCCCCATATGCTGGCGCAGCCTGCCTGCTTGAACGCCACTGGAAAATCCACTCTGAGTGAGTGGTGGGAACTGCATTGGGCTCACGTGCTCCAGGAGGAAGGCAGAAATGCACCATCCGGCTGCTGCCTGGAAACCTCTCAGCTCCCGCTACCATAGAATAACAGGAGCCTCTGCACCAGCTGTCCCCTCCATTTCTGTGGCAGGTCTCTGGAGGTCTTCAAGAGTCGTGGAGGTGACACTCAGTAATCTACAGTGTCCCTCTGCCCCCTTTTTGTGTGAAGGAGGCAACGCCTTCAGATAGTTCTGTTACAAGGTCATAGTGGGTACTGAACCCCACTATATTTATTTGCAAAGTTGTAGAAGGTGACAAAAATGAGCTCCCGTCGTTACGTCAGATCAGTGGGGCGCGAAGCCACACTTCCGTTCGACTGCTTGCTTTATTTGTTTAGTGCACTGAATCATAAGTGACATGTAATTGTCAGTCACAGCAGGTGGAAATTATATTGCCTATCACAAACCATTCTGCCATTTTGCAGTGATAAAAATGTTGGACAGGCTGGTGCATTATGCAAGCGGAATCAGCATGTGTACCAGAAATGATGGTCGACGTCTGACAGTACAACAGCTGGGCTATTTCTTTAACTTTACCTGGTAATCTTTCAGGACCAGGCTGACATCCTTGAGCACTGAGCTCTCTGGTACCCATTCCACGAGGGTTGACGGTGGATGCTTCGGACGGAGTAGAGCATCTGGACCAAATAATGCACGCGGCCCGGAGAGGCACCATGGGCCAATCTGATAGGCCTCCGCATCTGCGGTCTGCTGGTCATTTGATTATAGCGTGGAGTGTTTTCATTTTGATTGCATCTCATCCAGAGCTGCCCAGCGGTGACTCCTCCGTGTAATGCTCTTCCATCCCTTATTCAATCCAGACGCAGTACTTAGTATTCAATCCATAATTGAGTATTTAGTGACATATTGAATTTGTTTGATATGGAACTTGGGAGGTTTGAGTCTGCAGGGAAACCTTGCCTGGAAGACCACCAGCTTCCTGTTGCACTAACAGTTTTTATTTCGTTCCTAATGTTGTTTACTCTCATTACTGCTATGTACCAACTTGACGTCTCTCAATTTTTTTGTTCCATTTAAATCAGAATGTTTATGTAAAGTATCAGCTTTAGGAATGTAGTATGGGGAAATCTGCTTGCAGGACAGCTTGTCCTCTGGGTTCTTCTCTGCTCTGAATGTGTTGGCTTTCTGTTTTTTCAGTGAGATCGAGATCCACTGACATGAAGCCTAACCAGTGTTAGCTGCATTTTCCTGGAAAGAGAGTTTGAAGCACACAGCAACTGCAATATTTGAATTTATGGCATTATACCACAGTAGTTAACCTTGTCCCTATCGTGTGCCAAGACCACTGAAACCCCTACCACCTGCACATGGGAGACCACGTGAAGTTGTTCCAAGCCTTCCATATTAGAGGCGGTTCCTGACTCAAGGCCCAGCATTGAATGCTGGTATGCAATATTGCAGGCAGAGGCATGTTGGTATTATATTCAAGCTCAGGTTCTGGAGTTTTCATTTAGTTTGACGACAATAGCATTTTATTATTTCACAAATTCCTATTCCTGTCCTGCTCATAAGAGATATGTTTGCTGCTGAGATTTACAAAGGCTTATTCATAAGTAGTGAAAGAATAAATTATGTACCCAACACTGCAGATTTACTCAAAGGCCTATGTCATAATTGAGCAATATTAAAGTATGCTAAATTATTTGCATGGTTTTGGCAGCAAAGTTAGAATAAAAATAGGAGCTACTAAGAGATGGTAATTGTTTTTCTAATATCACTAGGGTAAATTATGATTAGCTTCAAAAACTCAAAAAGCTTGACAACCCACTTATTGGATATCACTATCAGTCTAATCATAACGATTACAAGAAGAAGAAATAATTTGGCATAGTTTGGCAAAGTGTGGATTGAAAATTTGAATAGTTCCTGAGGAGCAGTTGTAGTTAAGTAGAACCTGAATTAAGCTGAATTCTGCTGTAGTACAGCAGCAGCAGCATTAATTAATTGATAAACAGGAGGAACAGTCAGACTGGGATCCTTTTAGTGAAGACTTGCAGGCCGTATATCACTGTAGGGTCTGTTTTAGTGAAGCCGGCTCTGGGGTACAGACCCCGTCCTCCTCTGTTAACACAACACAGTCTGTGTTAATTAGTGGTGCCCGCTGGAGCCGTCATTAGGTGCGCTCTAATGGGCTGCGCAGAGCCTTGTGGGCTAGACTGATCAGGGAGTGGGGTGGGGAGGCAGGGGCCTGAGGCTTATTAACACCACCCGACAGGGCAGGGCACCTTGAAACCATTAGGGCAGGTACAGCGTAGCTTGTCCATGGCCTGCACTGTTGGATGGGAGACTGGGAGACATGGGAGCATGCCAGCAGGCTGGCGTCTGCGTGGGCACTAAGACGACCTGGGTCCTGGGCGGCTTTTACTGACATCATCAGTCATACCTTTGCATTGGATGTGCTCCTGTTCATTAGCTGGCATGTTCTCAATTAGCCACATTAGCCTTACTTTGTAGCCATTCTGTTTGCCACATATTGCTGCTATATTGTAATTTTAATTAGTGTAAATGATACGGCTGCAATAAATATCAGGAACAAAAAGGAAAGAAAACAAAAAAGAATTAACACGAAACACATTAATATTTTTAAGTGCCACATAAATCACTGTGGGTCAGTGGTCAGCACTGTAGCTGTTAGCTTTTAGCTATGTCATATATTCCAGTATGTCTATTTGCATTTGTGTGGTCTACCAGCGTTGCTTTTAACAATTTGATCTGAGGCCTCAATCCTTTTGCTGGTCTTTGTTTTTCAGCTGAAACAATTAATTTTTAAAACAAACGTTTTCTTTTGTTCCACTGGGGAAGTTAAACAAAAATCAACAGCCAGCAGGATATACATTTACCCCTAAACGAGACAGCTTTTACTTTGAGGGGGGCAGGGGGACATTTTGCAGTAATGATGTTACATTGTGCACCATATATTTTCACCAAAAATCCAGATGGAGCTATTTGTAGCCCTTAAGCCTATGATCTTGAATCGTCCCGAATGTGTCACAAAATTTGTGTTATTTCCTATGTTGCTTGTACATTGACTTTTAAACTGTTTTTAACAAAATGTCTATCAAATACATGAGGGGGAAATGGGGGCGTAAATGTAAAACACGATAGAGCCCCGGGCTCTCAGGATGACCGACCTCACACACAGCGGCTTTCCGTGCCAGAGCTGGCGTCCCGCTAGCAGCAGGTCATGGAATTTTATACGGCTGAGTTGCACTGGGATTTGTTTAAATCTTAGTAATTTTGGGGCGGGAGGCTTTGTCTGCTTTTAGTGAACTATCGAACACTCAGCTGCCACCAGAGCACACCGATGTGTGGCTGTAACATTCTGTAAAGCGTTGCCGTGAATATTGAAGCTGTGATCCAAAGGCATTTCACTCAGATGTGACTAAAACTCTCATTCCGTTGGTTCAAACGATTTTTTAAAATTAATTTCTGAGATGCTCAAACATAATGCAACATATGACCACAGAAAATAAGGGATTCTTGGGCTGTAGGGTTTGTGGTAGCACAGTGATACAGGACTTTAGACATGCAGAAATGTATAACCAGCTGGTGTTTGTATTTAATGTAATATATAAGTTATGTGTGTCTAGTGTTTCCCCCCATGTGGCTGCCTACACGCTCAATGAAACACCTTTGAGAGCTTTAGTGGAGTCGTTCTTGCACCTTTGCCTATGAACAATAGAGATGGTTCCCTCAGGCTCATAACCAAGAGGCCCTTGGCTTTCATGGTCCCCAAGCTTAACACTGCCCTACAAACATATTGTTTCAATGGTTTGTAGATGATCGACTACCCAAAAATAATTTCAAGTTTTGCCTATTTGGCCCTTACAGAACATTTTCTGTAATCTGTTCATAGCAGCACCTTTTTTCCAGGCCTAAACTGTATAGATGAGATATTCCTTGTGGTACCGTAGAAGTGCAGTTTCCAATTTTTTGCCAAATGGAATAAAATGTGTGAAATATAGTTTTTTTTTCCTGTGATTCTAAATTGTTCTATTATTAAATTTCTCACCTGCCTTATTGTGATATTTTAGTAAGCCTGCGTTTTGCTTGTTTCAGAGCATGGGATTGGTTAAGTTTGTTTTAATGAACTTAATTGATTGGAATGGGAATGCAGATCAGATCCTATCTGCATTGTTGCGAGGCAGATGATGTGGTGCAAAAAGTAATAGTTGTGAATATGGAATTTTGTGTTAGAAATGCATTTTTTAATTGAAAGCAGATGTCCTTGTCCAAAAAGCATGTTTTATAAAACTCGTTACCCAAAATCTCCACCCTAAAGCAGAAGGGCTTCACCTAAGGTCACAGACCCAAATCCTGAAGCACGACACAATGTTGCTCAGAGGAGTTGAGTTTAAAATATCCATATGCATGCCCACCACTAACAACTTACGCTTTCAATATTTATGCTCTTCTGTTAACTGTCATGTGACCAGGTGCATGGATTGGTCAGCCTTCTGTCTCTAACAATTTACCTTAAAGGCAAGATGTCAAACAAGCTTTGATTCCTCATCAGTCACCTGAAGCCAGCTGTTTATCTGGCTGGTCTTATTGACTAAATACATTCAGACTAAAGTAACACTTTGCACCAGGCAACTGATATTAGCCATGAAGCTTGAGTAGGGAAGAAAGTTGGCAGAATTCCTGGGTGTGATTGCACTTTATTCAAATACCCAAAGCACCATAATAAATAAATGAGAATATACATTTTAGAACTAATTTTTTATAAAAACAATTTCAACTGAATAACAGAATTCACTTCCAGGACTGGCTATCTAGGTTGGCGGCATGGTGGTGCAGTGGTTAGCCCTATTGCCTCACACCTCTGGGACCAGGGTTCAAGTCTCTGTGTGGGTTACATGTTTGGAGTTTGCATGTTCTCCCCATGTTGTCTTGGGGTTTCCTTTGGGTGCTCTGGTTTCCCCCCACAGTCCAAAGACATGCTGAGGCTAATTGGGGTTACTGAAATTTCCCATAGGTATGAGTGTGCCCTGTGATGGGCTGCCCCCCCATCCTGGGTTGCTCCCTGCCTTGTGCCCATAGCTTCTGGGATAGGCTCCACACCCCCTGTGCCCTGGAAGGATAAGCGGTTTGGAAAATGGATGGATGGATGGACAGATTATCTAACTGCAGTCATGCAGTTAGGCTAACGGCATTTATAAATTCTCCATGTGATTGTGTGACTGCATGCATGTATGTTTCTCTGTGACGGACTGATTTCCTGTCCAGGGTGTACCAAGAACCTTCTGCCCTAAGCCTACCTGGGGATAGGCTCCCTCCTGGCCCTGTGACTCTGTCCAGGATAAGTTGTAAATGGATGGATAATTTCTTTTAACTGACTCTTTACGTTTAACTATAGTTGCTATTCTGTAGGACATTTCAAAAGAAAAACATAAAGGAAACTGAAATGCCTGCAGAGTTTAATATTGGAGGGGGACACAAACTAATACAAAGGCCTATTTGTTATGGATATTCCTGTGGTAACAATGAAAAAGGAAAACTATGGCCCAGAATGCAATGGGGTGACCTCTGCTGTCAGAAGCCCTCAAATACAGATCTGTTTCTGGCAGAGTGTATTCGATCCCCTGGGACGCTCAGTTGTCTTGTGGATCAAAGTGCAGAGAGTTGACGGGGCGGCATGGATCCTCTGTCAAATCCTTGTCAACAAGGCAACGATGTGGTAGCTCAGTTTCTGGGGTGCAAACCCAGCCAGAATCCACCTGATACAGTAGGGGAGGGGGTTACAGCACAGAGGCGGGCACGCGATGGCTGCTTTCGCTGGCACCCGACATGTTCTTGAGGGAAAGTGGGGAGGTGATGTCACAGCTGTGCGGGGACAGGCCGCCGCCATTGGCTGGCTGCCACACAGGTCCTGTCATGTAGCCCGAGGCAGCTGCACTGTAGCCCAGGTAGGGCGATGCTGGGGTGGCCGGCTGGTAGGGAGGAAGGCTGGGTACTCTGACACAGCTGCTCACTCTGGACAATCTGTTTGGCATCTGGATGAAAAGGACATGGGACAGAGCGACACAATAGGTATCTAGTGAGGTTAAAGTATGGACATCTCATGGCACAAAGGAGCACAAAAATATTAGGATAAGACGATTCAAAACTAACAGAAGAATTGGTATGTTCGATGTTGAACCTTTTCAAGTGGAAAGCTGTCATCAAGCTTAGCAAGCACTACTGCAGTGGAGCTCCCGTGCATGCAGTCTGAATGATAGGACTAGATTAGGTCCTTTACTATGGCTAATACTTGAGCTGCTGTCCTGGCCAATTACCCACAATCCAGTGGGATACATTTCATCCAGACACTCCCCTTGATAGACTACGCTCTGTAAAATACTGTGTAATGAATACTGTCTTCGACGGTTTTGAGCTGTTGACGATAAATACCTTTGGATTTACGGCGTTCTCCGGATCGCCTTGCTATAGCAGGAAATTCCGAAAGCAGACGAAAAGTGTACGGCAAGTTACGGTAGATTGTAACTGATTTAGCCACGCTAGTTTTTGATCGTTTTTTTCAGACTTGTATGTGGTAAACCCTATATAACGCATATAATACGACATCTACTACATTCCGTGTAATCGTGACATTTACAAAACTTCAGAATAAGCATTTGGGGGATTAAAAGCCGATGTTGTTCAGAACGTATTTCATTTGAACTGCAACGTTTAAATCGAACGCCTACCAGTATAGCTTACATACTCATCTACCCTACAAATTTAAAAAATAAATATATTCCTCCTTGAAGTACTGTTCCATTTAGGTAGGATAAAATACAATAGGCTTCAGGTGTTCAGTTATTGCACGTGTTCTGATACTCAGCCACAGCTGTGTACACGCTGGCAGGTCTGACATCGGGTTACTTTTCGTGGGTTATATAGAAACTTTGTTTGGATTCTTAAACTTTAAATCGCATGCGCTTATTTGGAATTGCTTCGTATTGTATTCGTTTTTAACACGTGGAATTGGTATTTTCATTTACAGTTATACGCTACTGAAATTCACACTGTCATAACTGAAGAAGTTAAAGCGATTCACGGATAATAATGGCAAAAAAAATTCCCATGTCTTACTGAGCGTGTTTTCAATTTTTCTCGATAAGGACTTTTGGAAAAAATGTAGGTCTGAATTCAAATTATAACACTGATATGAAAATTGTGAAATAAAACTTTTCCTATTTTTCTGTTTGTATCTGGCTAATGTAGCCATTTATTTAATTTAATGCATAAGGCTATACAACCTCCCAAGTAGGCCTATTCGCCGACAGCTTTCGCTAAAAGTGCTGTGCAGTTTCTATATTTTGGGTTCCATAAAACTAAACCACATGTGGCTGCAAATCACAACTTTTGCAAATACTTAAAGTCGAATAAAGATGCGCAAATTCATTTACTTTGAATAGGAAATTTTTAAGAACAAAAATAAAACGGCTGTACAAATATCAGAGAACTTAATCAGAGGCTTGCAACCAAGGCAATACATTTACCTTTATGTAAAACCAGACGTAGTTAAAAGGAACCACTCTTTTCAACATAAAAAATCAGACCTACATAAAAATTCCACTTAAAGACCCAAATTTTCCATACAGACGTTTAGAACAGATAAAATGTTCAAATGCATGCTATTACAAAGAAGGTAATACAGAAGACAAAATAACCCGATATTTATTTTTAAATCATTTTAAGACAATGTGTCTATAATAATCTTATAAACACGATTGCTTATTCACTCTACAATTGCATGTCTTATATGCCATTTTAATTGAGACATAATTCCATGGAAAAAATACGTAATTTGAGGCAAAGCTGAAAGTAATTGTTTAACCTTAAATTGCTAGTATATATACAGTAAATACATTTCATATGTGGTTCAAATGGCCACATATGAAATGTATTTACTGTATATACTAGCAATTTAAGGTTAAACAATTACTTTCAATAACTTTTTTACATTTTAATTTTCGTTTTTCAGTCAAATGATAACGGTCCTTGTCAAATCTACTTTTGTAATAATAAGTCGATGAGTTTCTGTGTGTTTAATGTAATATTAGGCGAGCTGCATTTGAACGTGAATAGCAACTGTCTAACAACCAGGCACTTGATCTTCTTTGGCATGAAATTGTTTCACATCAGGATAATTCTGTAATTAGTCCACAAAGACTACTGGATCTCAAACGCAGGTGGTCAGTTTTAAGAAAGACCTATAAATGCTGTAACGCTATAAACGTGTCAAATTTACTAACGAAAGCACTTCGTGAAATTTCATCCAAATAATTCATGATAAAATGGCAATTTTTCTGAAAAGTAATTTTTTTCTAAAACATAATTTTCCCCACATTTTATAACGTGGTACTTGATAAACACCTGAGCGTGAGCTTTCGATATTAAATCGCCGACCCATAATGTAATCATAGATTTAGCATGGGGCTGGCAATACATTGTGAGAAGCACTCACTGAACTGAAGGAGAACATTAGAAATAACGGTTAATGGCCGGGTAGATGGAACCCAGAGCCGTAACAGGTTTGTCAGTCCTGTAGTCTTGCTCTTTGTGTAGCGCGATTGTTGTACTCAAAGTACCATAATATCAAAATTACGTAGCATGATGCAGTTGCATTTTAAATATATCAACAAATTTAAAGGAAATATCTACATAGTATATAGTGCATAGTATATTTGTTAATTTTGTTAAAGGTACAGGGTGCTCTGTGTTAGTAAGATGTAATTAGGCCTATATGACACTAGCAAATCCCGAAGCAACTATAGTTTCTTCTTCTCTAAAGTGTGAAATATCAAGAGACCACGAGGGGACATTAGACACTCCAGTAATCGTTAAACTACGTCTGGTAAACAGAAATGAAGATTTATCCATTTTTAAGATGTTATTCCTCATCCGAAAAGTTCAGTCATTTAGTCATTAAATAATCAGTTGCTCCATTGCCCTTTTCAAAGTGCATTACTCAGTGTGTTTTAAGGAAAGAATCGACTACAGCTGTTATTAATTAAAACTTGGAGACAATGGTAGCAGTCCAAAATGTTATACTTATTCTTAATTAAAATCATATCTGTCAAAATGCTTCATTGATAAACTAGTTAATGTAATTATCCTGTTAAGTGTGCATGACCTTCCTAATATTAAGTCTTTGAAAAAAGTTAAAACATTTTTTCCAAGACAAGGAAATAGATACATGATCACTCAAACCTTGTTTTCTTCCCAGGAACAGGGGTGTCTTAATGCATGGGCTTACCCGCTGAAGCCCAGGGGCCTCCGCTAAGAGGGGGCCTCAGTTACCTTTGCTTAATTAAATTTTAGACCTAGACTTGCTACCCATCCCGTATTTCACGGAATTGTTCCGCACTGAAAGATAAAATGCCGCGTCCCGTTTTGAACCATATTTTCGTGACCGAACAGAAATATAATCCGGATCCCGTGACCGATCGCCCCCCATTTTCTAAACGTCAGGACCCCCCGCCCACCCCGGTCAACTACATCAACGCAGAGAATAGTAGGGGGCCACTCAAAGCTGACCACTCAAATAGCCCAGGGACCTCTGACCATGTTAATGCGACTCTGCCCAGGAGTAAAGAACAGTATTAAACAAACCATAACCTTTAATTACTATACAAAACTTTCAAACTTGTCTTATAAAATGTTAAGCTACACTTGTTTGTAACAGATAAAGTGATAAGGTTAACAAATTAATTTAGCAAATTAGATAAGTTATTTATCTGATGATTATAAATCTTTCCGATACAGGAAAAAAACGCTTTCTGCATATAAATTTTCATCTCATGGTTAACATTCAAATAAATAAACAAATAAATTTAAAATGTCAGTATTGTTATTAAATGCACGGCGGAGAAAACATTAAATGCAGATCTATTTTACGTATTTTAAAATATTACATTTTAACTGTTGTTCTAAATATGTTTACTATACAAAAGTAATACTGATCAAAAATTGTATCCGTTTCCACGACCCAGTGTTTTGTGCATGACATTAATCGTTCGGTTCATCACTTTTAGCTAAATTAATATAAAGTGGATCAAATGTGAGTTCGAAGGATCGTTATTGTGACGCGTTTATACAGTGTGTTAAGGAAAGAATCGACTACAGCTGTTATTAATTAAAACTTGGAGACAATAGTAGCAGTCCAAAATGTTATACTTATTCTTAATTAAAATCATATCTGTCAAAATTTCCACTTACTATCCAAAATTACCTTGTCATTCCATTTGAGGTAGGGCTACTGCCATTTCAGCGCCTAACCCCTTACTTGTGAATTGTGAGACTAATATAAATTAAATGTAGTATTACCTATATTAGTTGCATGCATAATATTTCTATTTTTAAAAGTAGGTAGATTTTTGCCATGCTAATTTTGTAACCGCTGAATTAGACAGCAGGTTCATTTGTATTTTGATAATATCTTAAATGCCTAATTTAAGAATGAACAGTTACGACCCTTTTACAATACAGTCTACAGTTCAATATTTTAATAAACACAACCCGTAGTACACAAATGAAGAGCTGAATTTGTTGTCTGGACCCTTAGATGTTAATTCCTCCCGTGCGCTTAACTTTGGCTTCAGCATCAGTGCCACATACAAAATCATTATTTATTTCTTTGTATATCTAACATTTTTAACATACAGTTTTCACATTACAGTCCTTAAAATATTGACTGACCTTCCTACAAAGACAGAATCATTTGTTAAAAATTGCCCAAGTATTACCAACACACAAATCGTTGATAAGCTAGACAACTTAATTTGGTAAGGGAGACGACTCAATTAAAATAAAGGAGTCTCTGGTGTGATCAACGCTTTCCCATCCGGATTAAAGGCCTAGTCTTTTTGGTAACCATTTATAAAACATGAAATTGCGGAATAAATATTACAATGAATCTGCGCTTACCAGCATACGCCAAAATAATTCCATAAACGACACTTGTCACCATATTCTAAATATTCCCAATAAGTTCTAAAATAAACCTGCAATACATTGCAACTTCGTCAAATGTCACTGAGTCAAAGGGACAATATAAGATTCTGGTTTTACCTGCGCGTATTTTGTGTCTGGTTCTAAGTGCGGTTTATCCAAGTCATTGGCACGCGGCGAACTTGTTGTGGGAAAATTAATCCTGTTTATAGTCGTCCATTCTTCTACTTTGGCACCGTGCATGGGCGGGCTGTCGCTAACTGGGGAAAAGTAGAAAACAGTTAAATTGGAGACAATGAAAAATGAAATTATAAACACCCGAAATTGAAAGCACGACAATGTAATGACCTAAATAATAACAAACCCGCCTACAATTGCTTAAGGCAATATGTAGATGTATACGGTCCGTGGAAGTGGTCAAGGAGTTTCATTATATATGCTTAAATAAACTGAACATATTTAAGAAAGTTTTACTACAGAAATTTGAAAACGGAATGAGTACATTAAAGTGAATATATAAAGGATGACTGGCAACGTAAAAATAAAATCGCTTTTGAAGTCGCATCTTTAAGACTTATAGGTTTTGGCGCTCTTAAATCATCCTACCATTTGCATTCCAAATGGACGTATTAATCAGGCATAGCAGAAGTGGTCTGGACTGACATTGAGTTTTGTGATCAGAGAAGCAACATAAATCAAACTCCGTTTACTTATCAAGCTTTTCCCTAGTCATCTTTGCGGGGAATAATGTACCAAACACACTGCTACTGTACATATGCACATATTTGAGACGTTAGACAGTAAATAGCTTCCTAAAATATATTATTTATAGTTTCTAAAATATCATAATGAGCAGTGTGTGAACATCTTGTAAATTCATCATTGTATACATTCTCCAAACCTATAAATACTTCTGATAGTTCCAAGTCTAAAAGAGCAATAGAGACACCCGACAAACACAAGTAAGCCCATTAAACATTTTTTTCTAAAATAAACTTTAGAAAGCTGCTGCATTTTCATTTTAAAACAATGCCATTAATACACAAATACAACAGCAGCCAAATTCATTTCCCTTTGATGTTGATGAGATTTGTGCATATATTGTTTAAGATATTATCCGCATTGAAGAGTATAATAAAGGCATCAAACTAAAGAAACCGCAGCCACAGAAATCTAAATATTTGCAAAAAAGAAAATGACCAGTTTGTGAAGCACGCGCCTGTAAGATGATTAAAATACTAGAATTAGCTCCTGAGTTGACTTCAGCTTTCAGACCTTACTAGTAACATCTCAGTCTCATTTATAAGTGCATAAATTGCATATAAACCATCTGATTTAAAAAATATATATATATATTTCTCAAAGAGCGCTGGGGAGTTTCACATTGTAAAATCTGAATACTGTCTGCAGTGGTCAAGGTTTGAGTGTAATGACAGGGAATCCTGGCTGATTAATCTGTTGGATATATTTCGATTTGGGAGGGGGGGATTCTCCTTACCAACAAACCAAGTAACATATAACTCCTGCTAAACTATTTAGACAAAATATTGTCGGATTTAAAAATTACTCTCAAAACAAAGTTTTCTTTGGTGATCGTTCAATGCAGTGTCCTTTTAAACCAACACACAATTAGTGTAAACCCTGTAATTTGTTTTTCTCTTGGATAGATTAAATCAAAAACACACTCATATATCCAGGGATATCCGTTCTACTTATGGAAGAGAAAGAAAGGAAAAGACCGTACATGAAATAACTGGGAAAAAACTTATACCAAGACTTCTGTTCTACTCATACTAGAGAGTTGGTTCAGCTTTTTCAGTGTTGGTAGAAGTTTTTCTCTTAATACCAGTCTGGCTCTCGAAAACGGTAGCGAGTGCTGGGTGACTTAGCTCTCATTTATATTTTCATTTTGTTTCCCTTCTCCTGCGCCTTCCCTTCGTCAACCCCCTAATATTCTACATCCGCTCCATAATTATAACACCAACCCCCAAACCATCTGTTTCAATGTAACCAAACTAGAATCATCCGCCCAGCAAAGAAAACAATTGGTTTTTCCACTTGCTTGTTTATTAATGTATCATAATTGATAATCACTGATATGAAAGCATTGTGTTATTGTTTATTGATACGAATAACCAAATAGATTTTTGTCTTAACCAAGATTTTTGGGTATTGTTTATAGAAATTAAATGCAAGTAGGCCTATATGAAGAACTTAAGAAAATCGTTTACTCCAATTGTCTCATGTGGGACTGGTCAATCTAAACGGTATAACATTCTCCTAAAACATTTAAGCGGTCGCCTTACTTTGTTGTTCTGTTATGGACCGAATTCCCAGAATGTCGGTGACGGAATGAGAGGACGGCCATATTCTGTGCATTGCCATATGTCCGGGAAGGGTGGGCATGCCAGGTGGAGTTGGCACTTTTCTGGTAGTTATGGATGTTGGGTACGAGTAGATATGGTTGCAAGAAAGCGATGGCTGCGGCGGAATGTGGGATGACTGTTTGTTGAGCTCGCCGTGGTTATGCTGTGATAAGCTTCCAATCTTGTTGCGAAGGATTCGACTGATGGAACTGACCGAGGGAAGGTTAAATTTATCACACACACCGTCGGCTAGGAGTCTGTCCCGAATTTCCCAGGCGAAAATACCCGGGTCTCTCTGTTTGTATGTCCGTATATGTTTGACCACTGTAGGGGTGGTGACTCTTGGCTTGCTCCCTCCTATAGCGCCTGGTAATATGGATCCAGTCTCGTTGTATCGGGCCAGAATCTTGCTGACACAACCATGGGAAACCCGAAGTTGTCTGCTGATGTCGCATGGTCTGATGCCCAGCTGTGCTAGTTCTACAATCCTGATCCGGATGGCGTTTGGTAAAGGTCTGCCATTAACGAAAACACCGCCTAGCTGATTCACCTCCCCAAAGGCAGGCTCTGAAGTGAGAGAGAGAACAGCACATAACACATCTGTATTGTTTTGAACATGACTTATTCTAATACAAATTTAGTGTTTCCTCGTGGAAAGTGTACATTCGTCTTTGCTACAACAGCATGCAAAGTCAAGAGAAAAAAATGCGTAGCGGATTAAATAGCCTACTGATTTTCGATATTACATAACCACTTTTAATTGTACATACCATTTGGCATAGCAGCGGCATTTTGAACAATAAATTGTTTATCCACATGCCCTTCGTTAATTATATATAGTTGATTCCAAAAATAACGTTACGTTTCTAAAATTAATAAACGATTTTTAGCTATATTTATAAATAACCGTCAGAATACTTTTGAACGTTGTCCCATCTGTTGAAAATGTGCTCCAGTGTAAAACCTTTGATTTCTTTGGCATTTTATAGTACTTACCCATATCTTGAAGCCCTCCAGCGTTTATGCAGATTGACGAATTGCACTTTTTCGTCCGGTTCGGAGTCCAGGACTTCTGCTACCCGTGGAAGGATATTCACTTTGCACTTTTTAGTGGGACGGGGGGAATCGGGGGTTTTGTGTTCGGAATACTCGTGACATTCCGAATGCACCAATGGGCTGAACTTCCAAAAATACTTCATCCATCGTGTCAGTTTAACCAATAAGGTTTCGACTTCCTCCACAAATGTGTTTCTATTGGTCAGATAACTTGACATGACAGCGCCATTGAGGATTTCTTCGCGTCTTTGAAAAGCTGGCAACCAAGATAGTCTAACATGCAAATGAATTTTAACAACGTGTGAACGGTAAGTTAATTCAGATACACAAACGCATTGGTTTATGTAACCTAAATGATACAAGGAAATGTAATTTCCAAGCATATAGTTAATTAATGCATTTTAGCTAGATTGCTGCTGCCACTGTATAATCCGCCATAATGTAGGTGTAGCTATTCCATATTGGCCGCGAACGGTAAATTTTTGTAATTAACGATTCCCGTTAATTGTAAGGAATGCATATTTTAATGTCTGCTAGTATACCTAGAAAACACTCAGGAAAAACACATAAAGAGTATTAACAGTACAATATATTAATGAAAACATGTTATGCAACAGGAACGGCAAATGAAGGACATTTGTTCATTATTGTTCCTTGTTTCACAAGGCTTCTATACCCATTATACAAAATTAAGGCCGTATGAAATAAATATTAACGTAAAATTTCATCTGACAAATGGACAAATGCTATTTTGTATTGTTGTTAGAAGGAAACAATATATATATATAGCTGACATTCAGCAGTTTGTATCTGGTAACGGTAACGTTCAAACCTCGGTTTCTGGTAATTAGGTAATTATTTTCTGTGATGTATGAACCATGGTTCATACACTGACGTATACATTGTCTTGGTCATGAATATATATTTTTTCATTTTACATTTTGATGCAATATTTTCGGTGAAAATTATAAAGTGAAATACAGTCGCTTGTATACAAAAGTCATAGTCTTAGGCGCGAGGGAAGAATTAGAATAGAGAAATCAGCCCCAGAAAAGAAATTCATATTTGTTGATTAGACAGAAATTAAAGGCCGGTGCTCGATTTCTAGTTCATTTTAAGATTACAAAGTAGCATTATAAAGTCCAAGCCCACATAAGTAGATTTTACTGATGGTATTCTATCTTTATGTTTCGTGGGCTTTGAAGGCACTTTCACTTACATTTTAATATGAATAATTTCGTGGCGATGTATTTATATTTTATCTCTTGATGCAAAGTATTTAATTTAATTTATTGATATTTACCACCTGCTGCACCAATTCCGCGAAAAGTGGTAGTCCTTCATTGTATTTAAGTCCTTTAATTTTTCTGATAACTTTCAGTACTGCAGAAAGTCTGGGTCAATTGCTATTTTATCTCCTGTGTAATAGTTCATGGATGTAGTATTAAAGGTACATTCTTTGTTTCTTGTTTACAGATCCATTTAATAGGCTAGTAATACTTAATCCTTAAAACGTTCCGCGCTGTTTGTCTTGGATTTCGGCCTCAGTCTATCGTTCCTCCCAAAATAACTTTAGTTATTTCATGAATTACATGGTATATTAATGAAACGCTTCCATCACAAGAGATGCATTCTCAGGCAATGTGTTACAATATTTTAGGTTATATTAAGGTTTTATTTATTCTCAAATGCGAAGGAATAAACATCACTTATCACTTATCACATCCTGTAATGGAAGTTTTAACAATAAGTCGTTTGATATTTCGAGGGGTGTACCGTGATTGACTGTCAGACTTGTGTAATATTGGTACACGCGAATCTGAGAGAATAAGGCAAAAATTAAACAAAAATCACATCGATAATACAACTGCTGTTGACCACCGATGTAGTTCGTGTTTATATCTGTTAAATCTGTTTGCCCTTGAGATCTACGTTGCAAATTTGATAAATAGTTTTAGACAAAGCACTTGAGGTGCTTTGACTTTACAAAAAAACAAAAAACATAACGGCAAACATATGTTCATAAACGTAAAGCAAAAACGCAGAATAATCAAAACAACCTATTACTTCAGGAAGCACCAATTCTTATTGTTTGTTCTTACCACTGCACGGAATGAGAAAATGAAAAATAGATCTCCGTTCATTCAGTTTCAAAGAAAAACATGCTGTTTGTACGCATATTTTGCACAATAGTGTATTACGGCGTTGTCGCAAGAAGTTTTTTTTTAATTATTATTATTTCCCAAACACAAAGCAAAAATATTTATATTCGTTTACAGCTAATGCTAGCTATATACTGAGAATGAACTCATAACGTTATTCGTTAACACATAATTAAACTTTGATATTTTTATATTTAAGAATTTCTGATTAATCAAACATTTTAGTAGGTTATTATAAAATGTACATATGCCAGGTATGTCAATTTAAAAAAAGAATAAAGACTACAGCGCTAGGAAGAGGATGAAATTAGCTGGTACAGTACTATAGATGTGCTGACCCAGATCCCGAATCGAGGCGAATTTCATTGCACACGAAACAAAATAATTTCATCTATCTATCTATCTATCTATCTATCTATCTATCTATCTATCTATCTATCTATCTATCTATCTATCTATCTATCTATCCATCCATCCATCCATCCGTCCATCCGTCCGTCCGTCCGTCCGTCCGTCCGTATCCGTCCCTCTGTCCGTCGTTATTATAACAAACCAGAGTAGGCCTACAGCTGTCTGTCAGAACAGTCCTTTGTCCATCCATCCATCCATCCATCCATTTTCTGAAACCGCTTGTCCTATTCAGGGTCGTGGGGGGGTCCGCAGCCCATCCCGGAGGCTACGGGCGCAAGGCAGACAACAACCCAGGATGGGGTGCCAACCCATAGCAGATAGTCCTTAGTTCCTATATTAATATATATTTGATTATTTAAAATTAATGATTAAATTGTGATAAAATCAAAATGTACGTTGTATGGAAATACTGGCGACCGAGAACCGCAACATTTCATAACTGGCGTTCCAACAGTTTCGTAAATAAATATTTCCGGTAAATACTGCACTGTTGCTGTGTCTATTCTCGTCAAACGTTATGTCATATTTTTATGACAATTATGTGAAGCTCCTACGTGGATTCCTTATTTTATTTTATTCTTGTATTATATTGTATTGTTTATTCTTGGTATATTTAAGCTCGATGAGAGCAATGCCTTGGCACAACAATTTCCTTCGGGGTAAATAAAATTTTGTCTTGTCTTGTCGTGTAGTGTGTTGTCACGTGTCAGACACGTCTCACTGTTTCATTTTTTAAATAATTCATTTTTCGCAACTTAACATGTAACGGGGTAAAACTGCTAAGAATTTCAAGACTTTCTTGCGTGCTAACCATTTCGTTACCTGCTTCCTTTCGCCTAAACATTCCATATACAATGTATTCAGATGTTTCATTAAAGTCCGTTTCACATATCAGGAAATTGTAAAAACATTTTTTTAGTCACAAAACGGAAATACTAGGGTTAGTTGAAATGCATAAATTCATATTAGGCAATCTTTATTTTGTCTGTTTCTCGTGAATAAACTTCAATGACTTTGATTTCAATGATTTGGAATGCTGGTATATGTATCTGTATGTATTACGCCTCTCTCTCTCTCTCTCTCTATATATATATATATATATATATATATATATATATAGTATTTATATATATAGTATTTATATATATAAACCTATTACTTAATATTTGCCCCTTTGTCCTACGCGTTGCTTTATCCTGGAGTTCAAAGTAATACAAAAGCAATATATATTTGCTTAAATTATCTAAAAAGTTTAGTTTATGTTAGTCATGACATATTTTAATGGGAAATATTTATGCTGTTTTATTATATGGTCCAGTGATTTTTGATTTTTATCAGCACGATTTGAATTAATAATGTGTGTCATACACATTCGCTTATTAGCAATTTACCGTTCTCTTTCTGTAAATGTCATTTTGTGACAAACTTTCTGATTTTTAAAATCCATAAATATTTTGTGTTTGGGGGTGTGTTACAAAATTCACCCATGTTTTCGCCACGTTTATTGTAGCTTATTAGGTAAAATATGAACTGCCCTGTGACCAAGTTTGTTCGTCCTTTATAACCAGAATCGTAAATGAAAACACAAATACGCGATCTACAGTGTCATACGATATGTGTAATATTTTACTGTATATGTATACAGAATGAGCAGCGGAAACATTAATGATATGATACTAGAAGCTGAGTTACAAGGACAGATTTGCACCAGAAAATATCCTGCGGAGGTAACACTCTCAAAGACTAACAGCGCGATACAAAAAATGCCTTAATCATAGTCGACTTTAATCGTACCTGACCGAAAATTGGTTTATGAAAATTGTGTGAGCTGCGACATCATGTGGGCAAAATGTTAATCACTCATTTTTAAGAATGACTTGACCTTTGTGAGAGATCTATGCGATGTGCGGTCAGTAATTATTCACTCAATCATACAATAAGGGAAGGTTTGTTAACAGCCTTGGTTATAGGAGTAGCACTTGACCTCACAAGTTTCAGTGTGCATCAAAACCAGTAACTCCAATTAGTGTGTTAGCTCATTAGTTGGTCTGTGGTTTTTTGCACGTATAAAGCCTCCATAACGCATGCTATAAACTATGGGGGCTATTTCATATAATCATAAGACAGTTACTGTCAGAAGGATATGTGGAGGATATCTATGTTAATATCACAAAAATGTCTTAGTCTTAAAGCACCTAATTAATTTTTCCAATTAATGTTGTTTCCCCAGTTTACCGCTATTGAAATCAGCACAAGAAGTGCACTAGCTACCCCCACACATATATATCCTTCACTCAAGAACTTAAAGTAACATTATTACATGGATTAGTTGAAATATGTAAGTATGGAGTTCCCTGCCATGTAAGCGTTAATGACAGGTCTAGCGTCTTCACGGCAACGCAAAACAAAGATCCCATGACGATTTGCTTTGATTCCGCAAGTTGTTTTCGATGTTTTAATTATTAAATTATAGTCCCTATGAACATTTAATCGGCGAAATTAGCAGCTTTATTTATTTGGATATGAATTAATTGTCATGGTTGCAGTTATTGGCATTCATTACAGTAGGCTAACATTTATACGAACTGTTGAAAAACTTTGCAGAATCCTTAAGATATGGTTGTGTCTAGCTTCAAAAGAATGT